CCGCTGTAAGTGAGCTACGCCTACGCTATTTTTAATATAACTTTTATTTAATTATAGTAACGTTATTAGGAACTTATAATAAATACTTGGGCTATTATTATGGGTTATATAAGTATTTTTTTGACGCTTATAATAATAATAATAATAGCTAGACTATTAATTAGTCTCGACGAATAATAAACTAAACTCTAGTGGTAATAATACTAGGTTTCGTCGAAGAAAAATTCTTTTTAAGAAGCGAAGCGCTGTCTGAGTTCGGAATCACCACCTTTTCCGGTGAGTGCATAGTTACTTCAACTTACACATAGATATGAAGTATTTTATATAAATTACGTGCTATGTGTGCATATTATCTGAATACTTGCTATCTATGCTAGATGAACGTTGTTATACATGTTTTCAATGATTTAAACTGTATACGTATTTTATATCTACGAAAATGTTGGGGTAAAACATGGGTAGATGTAATAGGTGATGTGTGATAAAATGATGAGAGGCCTCGATGTTGTTGTTGTTGATCCAGTCATCTAGCGGAGTATAGATGACGACCACGGACTCTTCTAGACAGTCCAGTGGAACACTAGCAGGCTCGCAACCTGTAGGTGTTGTGAACGATGTGTTCACCGGTGTACTCCATCCCCCACATGGTTGCCTATTAGGACATTTATTGCTGAGGAATCCCCTTAGCAGTAGTGTCCGTCCCGATGATGATCCTTAGGCTAGGTCCCTTATGATAGGTGTTTAGGGACGTAAAGTGAGGATAACGGGAACGGGTAATCGGGTTATTGTTGATTGATGAAATTAATAAACTTATTTATTGTGGGTTGAAAACCCTATGTGCTCACCAGGCTCCCAAGCCTGACCCACTCAGTTTTATGTATTACAGGTAGTGGCGCATGAGCATAGGTGTGATGTTTTGGACGAGGGATTACGGATATAGGCCTGTAGATATGAAATAATGTAGTAAGGCTTATATTGTACTGTTTATACTTTTGATCTGTACGAACATGACATCCCGAGTCTTTTAATGAATACATTTCTATGGAAATGCTTTTGATAAATCTTTATCATATTATTGTTTTGGGACAAATTCCGCAAAACCATTTATTAAAAGATAACTCTGATTTTGAAATAAAGTATAAACAAAACCGGTCTTTTCTGGCCGTGATTTTGGGGATGTCACATATAGTGATGAAATCGGTTTTAACAAATTTGTTTCACTTTATAATTCTTCTCTTGAATCTTTTTGTGAAATTTGTCGATAAAGTGACATTAATATGCAATAATACTTGGTGATAGGACACATATTTGGGATGAAGATGCCTTTGATTTTTAGTTGTTAGTTTCACTTTGTAGTGGTTCATATTTTCTTTCACTTTTAGATAATAAGGACCTACACAGATGAGTACAATTTTTTTCTTCCTTTCTTTATTGGAATGGTGTACATATGGGAAGTTTTTGGGAACAAAAGAAGCACCATATATGTTTTTGACTTTTTTGTCCCTTCCATATTCCCTATTTATCTGCTTATCCTCATTATCTATTTCTTGATAGCTATTGCAGCTTTGTTGCAGCAATAACCTTCTTTTGAGTTGTCTGGAAAGCTTGCAGCTGACACCAATCGAGTCAAGGGTGAGCGAGTCTTTTGTTCACTTCTTCCCTCTCTATTTCTTATAGATAATAGAAATAGATTTTCAAGAAACTAAATTAATATGATAAATAATGGTTTAATTGACACTTTTTTCGGATAGGTGTGACATTGTTGTTTACTGAGCCACCAGATGCAAGGAAACCAGAAATAAGATGGAGGTTTTATCTTTTTAAGGGTAGTGAAGTGCTTAATGGTGGGCTTGATCATGTCCTTCTGTTATCTAATGTAAAAAATGATTTTGTGTGAATTTTAACAACTTCTATTTAGAATAAATAAATAAAACAAGTAATTTGTTTTCCAAATTACTTTTATTTAATATTAACAAAGTATTATTGTTATAAAAAGTAATTTGTTAATTACAAAATATTTAGTTTTCAAAAAAACACTCCTGTTCCAAAAAAACACTACTGTTGGAAAACTAAAACAAGTAATTTGTTAAAAAGTATCTTAATATAATAAGTTGTTCTTGAGTATGTATGAACAAAATTTAAGAATTTGTAATTAGCAAAAATGGCCAAAGTGACCATAAAGATAAAAATGGTCGTTTTCACTAATAAAATTACTTTCATTTTGATTAATTCAATAAATTATATTGCTATTTAGTGCATTTAAAGCATGAATCCGCCAAATGCGATAAATACCAATATACTTTTACACACATTATCAAATTTGCCAAAATTACCCTTCCATTGTCAATCATGCTCTTTAACTAATGAATTTCCTATAATACCCTTGCCTAAGATGTGCCTAAAATCAAAATCTTCCATATCGGCTCAACAACATAATTATATTTAATGCGATAAATAACAACCCACTTTATAAGATTGCAAATTATTTTGTATGAATTTTTTTTTTAAAACTTAACTTTTGTGTGTGTTAGGTAAGAGGGTAAATAGAAACTCCAACATTATTTAATGCATTTAAGCCATGTATCGGGTAAATACAACAAATACCAATCTACTTTATAATAATCAATTATTATTATTATTATTATTATTATTATTATTAATAATGCATTTGGGCCCTATATATGTTTTTCTGTCTAAGAAGTTGTTTATAAGAATGTATGTTTTTTTTTTACTTTCCCATATTGCCCTTACCTAACATGTGTTTTTCCTTGTGATCACTTCTTCCTTGATGTTGCCAACCAATATTAACATTTGAAATCTATTCGTTATATGGGTCTATATTTGTGAAAATTGGATCTACGTTCCATGATTTCTAACTATGTTTGTAAGATTTAAGACACGAGTTTAGGTGAAGATATATTTTTTTTGACAGATCTAATTTTTTCGGGCGTAATAGCTTCGAACATTGATTTATGTGGAATGTGGCTTAAAGTGGAACTCATTTTTTGTATTTTTTTCCCTCCTTTTTTATGTAAGAGTAAGGGTTACTAATTTATGCAATATAAAAAGGGAATGGAATCATTCAGGTTTTGTTAACTTTACTCTTTCTGTTTTGTATTATCCGCTAAAAGTATTTCTTCTTGATTGGAGCCGAAGGTTTGTGAAATTTGATTGTGCTTTGATTCATTCAATAACCTGAAAGTTCAATTTAGATAATATAATTGACAACTGCAACTTTTACTTATCTCTCATGGTTATTTCCTAAAAAGCTCACACTTTTGCTGTTAATTATCCAATAACTATGTTTTCCTGGTCTGTTATGTCTCTAAGTAGTTTATTTGCATGGGAACCGATTTAAACAATATAATTTGAACATAATTATGTTGACTGTTGTAGCTGCATATTTTTTGTTGTTTATCTTAGTAACATCTTGAAACGTTTGGATTGTTTCTCTTATTTTGAAAACTACTTAGCCATTGGTATTATATGTTTATATGTGAATATTAGCAATGTACTTTTACTTTGTTTTTTTGCCCATATTAGTAATATACTTCCATTATGTTATCCGTGTAACATTGTACTTTAGCTTGTGAGTAAATATTATAAATTGTAAATACTTATTACATCTTTCTTATTTGTATAAATATACTAATTATTTAACAAAAATGTATATGAAGGGCGAACATCTATAATAACTCGATCATAAGATTTGCGTAATGTATATGGAAATGATTGTTTTCTCAACTATCTAATATTTCTGCTTATTCCATCTATCGTACTTCCTTTCAAACAACTTGAATTTTTTAATATAAGTTTTGTAACAACTTTTATACCTATTTATTTTTCATTCTGGTAGTAACAATTGCAATATATTATTTTACAAATCATTTAAATACAAATTTGTTTGGGGCGGTTCTTTTATGTTGTGATTTTGTCATCACATAAAAAAAAGAATTTGATTTTTTTAGGGTAAATTTGAAAATATCAGGCTCTTTTTGAGTGCTTAGGTGGTTTTTGGTGTATACTTAATATGAATTTTGTTGGTCATAACTCATAAGTGTGCAAACGAAAAAAAAAAAAAAAAACAAACGTATTTATGTTATGTTGTGGTAGATCTCTAATGGAATGAAAAGCAACCAATAATTTTTTATTTATAGAAATACACCATTAACCGTAAAGCTTCACTTAAAAAAACCTATATAAAGAATACTTTACAAATTTATGTTTACACTTGCAAAGAAGTGTACAATTTATTATAAAACTTCGTATTTTTGCACTAAAATTTCATTCCTTTTAGGAATCAAATTTTGCAAAATGAAATACTTTGTTAAAAGGTCTTATGTTTTTGGTTATATAGAAATTTAAAAATTCTATAGTTATCTGTATTTATTGAGTATATATCTAATTGTAATATAGATTTTATGTTTAACAAATTATAAAACCTAACAAGTTGTTTTATAATGCACCATTTATATTTTCTAATTCATGTGTTAATTGCTTCATTGTTTATGTTTATTTTGTTTTTTGTTTTGCTACGTCATTAATTGTGAGTATCGTCTTCATTTAAAAAAAATTATGCAATTTAAACATGTATGTTTGTATAAAAATAAGGATAAAATTTTATAAGTTTATTATTTTGTATTATCATTTTTAATTATCAGTATTATTTTTCTTCCTTACCCGTGGTTATCACGGGTTATAACCTAATCTCTAAATATAATAAAGTAAGAAGCATTAACTAAAAAAATAAAAAATTCTAGATTTTGGTTAAAATTCACAAATAAAATAAAAAAATAAATAATAATGTTAAACGCGCGAAAGATGATTGCAGTCTATCAGCTATCTCATTTTCAAAACGCATCACATACGCAATTCCGTACACCCCCAGAAAGTTCCACGTCGCCTCCGTGTAACGAACTGGTATTAGGTTTCTCCTTCAAAGTCTCTATAGACATACTTTTGTGGTGATTGCAGAAAGTATTAGATTTGGAGAGTATTAGATGGATCCGAAGAGGAAGTCGAAGGTAAGCCTGTTCGATGTGGTGGATGAAGCCACATTCACCACCAAGCTTAACATAGACGACGGCGGAACCACCGCTCACGGATTCGATTGTAGTAACATGTCGCCGGTCAACAGGTGGAATGGATGCCCTTACTCACAGCGTTATTACGACATGCTGCAGAAGAGGACGAGGTTACCAGTCTGGCATCAGAAAAGGGAATTTCTGAAAGCACTCAAGGATAATCAAGTTCTTATCATAGCCGGTGAAACTGGCAGCGGTAAAACCACACAGGTCACTCCTAACCTTTACTATTTATACAAATCTCTCTTTGTTGCCAAATTCGTCACATTGCAGCGATGATTATCAGTTCTACTACTTGTTTGTTCCAACTAGATAAAATCTGCTATGTCTGTTTGATTTATACAGGGAGTTATGGTGCATGAGAAACGTATTTTAAACTGTTTTTTTGCTAGGTAGAATCCTTGTTGAACTAGAAATTTTAAACAGTTAAGTTTTGAAAATGGCAGATTCCTCAATTTGTTCTGGAAACCATTGATGTAGAAAGTGCTTATAAACACAAGAGATTCATGGTTGTATGCACTCAGCCTCATAGGCTGGCTGCAATGTCTGTTTCTTGTCGAGTTGCACAAGAGATGGATGTAACCATTGGGGAAGAAGTAGGTTACAGTGTTCGTCTTGACGACTTGATCAGTGATAAAACTGTTTTGATGTAAGCTTATACATGTTAGAATCCAAATCACATTTCTTAATGATTACACTTGCATTCATCTTCTTCTCTATCTTGTAGGTATTTGACTGATGGTATGCTTTTGAGAGAAGCCATTAATGATCCACTTCTATGGAGGTACAAAGTGATAATTCTTGATGAGGCCAATGAAAGATCATTAGCTACAGATGTGTTGCTTGGGGTTCTAAAGGGAGTTTTGAAGAAAAGACACGATCTTAAGCTGGTTGTAATCAGTGAAACTCACAAGGCTAAAAAGTTTCAGAATTATTTCTTTGGTGCACCTTTGATCAAAGTTCCTGGTAGACTTCATCCTGTTGAAATTTTCTACACCCAAGAACCTGAAAGGGACTACCTTGAAGCAGCAATCCGAACAGTGGTGCAAATACATATGTGTGAACCTCCAGGTGGCATACTTGTCTTCCTCACTGGCGAGCAAGAGATAGAAGATGCATGTCACAAGATAACAAAAGAAGTTTCCAATATGGGAGATGAGGTAGGGCCAGTGAAGGTTGTACCTCTGTATTCCACACTCACTCCATTGATGCTGAACAAGATATATGAACCTCCTCCATCTCCATTAACTAAGGATGGTCTTGCTGGAAGAAAGATTGTAGTTTCAACAAACATTGCAGAAACTTCGTTCTCCATAGATGACATAGTCTATGTCATAGACCCTGGATTTGCAAAGCAAAAAGTCTACAATCCACGTGTGCGTGTTGAGTCTTCTTTTGTTTCCCCAATATCCAAAGCAAGTGCTCATCTGAGATCAGGTTGTGTTGGAAGAACACAACGGGGTAAATGTTTCAGACTCTACACAGAGAAAAGTTTCAAAAATGATCTTCAACCTAAAACCTACCCAGAGATCCTTCGATCAAACATTGCACATACAGTTCTTACTCTTAAGAAACTCGGTATAGATGATCTGATCCATTTTGATTTTATGGATCCTCCTGCTCCAGAGGCATTGATGCGGGCATTGGAGGTTTTGAATTACTTGGGAGCATTAGATGACAATGGAAACCTGACCAAATTGGGTGAAATCCTGAGTGAGTTTCCCCTTGATCCACATATAGGAAAAATGCTTGTGGCAAGCTCTAAGTTCAACTGTTCAAATGAAATTCTTTCTATATCAGCAATGCTCTCAGGTAAACTACATTATCATCTTTTTTTTTTTTCTTTTAAGCATGCCCATGAGCCTTTTCTATGATAAACCAATGTTTTCTGTAGTACCCAATTGCTTTGTCCAGCCTGGGAAGGCTCAGAAAGCTTCTGTAGATAAAGCAAAAGCACGATTCAGACACATTGATGGGGACCACCTTACACTTTTGAATGTTTATCATGCTTACAAGCAAAATAGTAAGTACTGTAACTGTATTGCCTATCACATTATTAGCAAAGTTAGGAGGTTGTTAAGGATACAATCTTTTGTGGCTTTCAGATGAGGATGAATCATGGTGTTCTGAGAACTTTGTCAATTATAGGGCTCTTAAGTTTGCAGATAATGTCAGGCATCAGCTAGCTTGTATAATGATTAGGCTCAACCTCAAGTTATGCAGCACGGATCTGAACAATCGTGACTACTATACCAACATAAGAAAGGCTTTGTTAGCAGGATACTTTATGCAAGTTGCCCATTTGGAAAGCAAAGGACATTATTTGACTATGAAAGATAATCTGGTTTGTTTCATCTTTCTTTTAACTTGTTTTGTTATGTATATATATATGTTGGTAAAATTAGACTTGCATTTGATGTATACTTTGGTTTGGTGTTTGTAGGTAGTTCATTTGCATCCATCAAATTGTTTAGACCACAAGCCAGAGTGGGTTATTTACAACGAGTGTGTCTTAACAAGCAAGCTATTCATCCAAACAGTTACTGATGTTCGTGGGCAATGGTTAGTACTCATCTTTACTGAGAAAATTTTCTCTAGTTTTTTTCACTTATGTCCATGAATGGGTTATTATTTTTCACTCGCAACCTAACAAACCCCAGTATGACAATTCTACCCTTGAAAGACAGAAAAAGAATAAAATCAAAATAACATAAATCGAAATCTTCACTCCCTCTTAATCATATGTGACTTGCTCTTCATACCTTCAAATTTGTTATTTGGAATGGCTTTGGTAAGGTTGTCAACAATCTGAATTCTATCATGATGTGTTGGATTTCTTGCTTATTCAGTGTCTGCTTTATTATCACAGAAGAGAGTCGCTTTTCTGCTATTCAGAATGTTAAGTTCCTTCAATATCCTTCCAAGCCAAATTTCTTTACAGATCCCTTGACACATCGCCCTAAGATCAGCTTACACACTACTTCTATCAACTACAGATTGCATCTTGCTTCACCACACAAATGTGCAATATCTAGTGGTTGATCTTTCATACACATCATATCCTCTCTAGTTTGCATCTGTGTAAACTTTAACTCCCCTTTTATTAGTCTTTCTGAAGTATAGTGCATATCCTGGTTTCTTCTTTAAGTAGTGAAGAATTTGGAATATAGCTTCCATAAACTCCATTTTGCATTTTTAAATTACACTAAGGTCCTATGCTTAAGACCCTAACCTTAAAGTAAGACCAACATCTTAGATAATTTCATTATTTTGATGAGCCCAATACATTATATTTATATAGGCCCAATATGATAGAGATGCTCATATAATAGATAAGCCCAATGCATTAGATAGGCATAGGCCTAAGACACTAAATATGCCCGATACATTATGTAAGTCTAATGCTTTAATTAACTAATGGAATTATCTCATCATACACATGGAAGTGTATTACATGTTGACATGTCTTAAACCTTTTAAATCACTTACACTCAAGATCTAGTAATTATTCTTATTAACCAAAGTTCACATCCTTTGATACTTTAGGCGTAAATGCTATACTTGAAATCTCATTTAACATCAACTTTCACGTTAGACAACTTTCATCTAAACTTATCATCAATGTGTATCTTTGACAACCGGTTCATTAATTTAGCGTCCCAAATGAACCTCCTTTGATGGCATCTTAACACTTAAAGGTCAACACATATATCCCCAAATAGAGGGTGTTACAGTTTTCTCCTTCACTTTGTGTCAGACTTGGTTACAATATTCAGAGGACATAGTCGTAGGACTCTATTTGATTTTTGCATACAACTTCCTTTGTATGTTCTCAAAATTCAAAGTGGAAGATGCAGTGAGTAACCCATTGACCCATGTTCTGACATTACTCGGTACTCAATCTTGTAGCCATGGAGTTTCCCATAGAACAATTGGTTTGGATGATCAAGAATTAACGACCCTAACAGTATGTATGGATCCACTTTACCCATAGGGAATCTTTATTATTAGGTATATGTCATGCATGTGACACCAATAAAATTATTTTCCAATTCCAGAGGCTTCTTGTCCCCAACCCCTCTTTTTGATCTTTTAACAAATAGACCATCTTCCTAGCTACTTTAGCTTGCCCACTTTTTAGATCCCCTAGACTCTATACAAACCTAAGCAATTTCTCAATCTACTTAGTAATCGATTTACGGAGGATGAAGATACACATACATGTATAATCTCCACATCTCCGGTGGTATCAAAACTCCTTACACCCTTCATTTCTCCTTTTGATGGTTACGTAAAGAACTTCCATTACAATAGTAAGTGATGGGTATCAGGGTGAAAAGGGAATATATTGATGATCAATACACTTGGATAGTTGTAGGATTGTGTCATCACTTTCCTTGAATTTTATTTTCTCCTTATGCCTAGTTTGAATCAAGATGTTCGAAAACTTGGTATTTCCAAAAAGTGGTGTATTATGAGTATTTATGCTCATTCTACCTAAAAGTTAGATAAGGAATAGGATGATGAAAATAGTGTTTTTCAAATATTAGAAGGGATTACATTTGTTCGTCAAACTAACAAATCAGTTTGAACTTAACTAACCAAAACTGACCAAGTTAGTTTCCAACCTTAAGTAGACCATGTTGGTTTATGATAATATCTCAAGAGCACAAAGCAACCAAGCATAAAAATTAGAACTTGATCATCATATCCCACCATGGATCTTGTTCTAGCGACTTTTTAGCAATAATAATAACTAAGTAGACAGATCGAATCACACCTTCTTGATGTACTAGAAGAGTCGGATTTTTTCTTTATCTTGGAAGATTTAGAGCCCAAAGGAGAACTCCTCTAATGAAGTCGCACCCAAGACAAGTGATCTAGCACCAAAAATGACCAATCTCTTATGTTCTTTACTTGATAAACTCGAATCCTAGACTAGGTAGGGATGCCGTGAGTTCTGTAGGCCGAGAGGGGAGGGAGGAGGGAATTCAAAATTCATACCCTAGGTAAAGAGTATCATCTCACATATATTTGATATGATTATTCTCTTTAAATTCGTATGATTTATCCCTTTAATTAAGGAAGGGATAAATCCTTACCAATTCAAACTAAGGGCATCCACAATGCATTGAACTCTATAGATTTCAATGGATTACTACATTTTTCTACATTCCATACAACTCAATCAATTTTTTCCTACAATGCATTCAACTCTACAAAGTTCAATAGAAAGTTACAAAAGCTAATTTATAGTATGTATTTAAGATTAGAAAACTTTCCTTTTTCCCATTGAAGAGTTTAATTTGTCATTGAACTCCATATCCATTGAATGCCAAGGTGGCATCTCACTATGGTAGAGTTTCATCCATTGAATAACAACTAGAGTTGCTAGTTGCCACCTCATTCAACTCACAATTGTGGATGCTTTAAGGATAATTACATCTAGACCCTTAAGATTCATTAGTTTCTAATTAACTCACCTATAAGATGACAAGTTAATAAACTAACCCCTTTAAATTCCCTTTTTTTTAATGCTTAAATCATGTTTGGCGTGTAACCCAAAATGACTTTTAATTATGGAAAGTCATTAACTTGTTGTGACCATGAACATATTTCCAACAAACCAAACTAAGGAAGTTGAAAATTTGGAGGCCAGTTTCTTCACTCTATGCTAATCTCCCCTTGACCTCGGCATTTGTAGTCTTTTGGATCACATCCTTTTTGTCACAAGTGTAAATTCTAAAAAACACCAAAATGACCATGTGACACTAAAATCACCAATTATAGATACGAAGACAACTTCCCTATCTCAAACCCTTCTTGCCTTTGAAATAAAAGTAGAGATCTCCATTGATGGTTATAGAGAAGAATGTAGAAGATGTTACACTTTTCATAATCCATCACTTTTATTGGGTGGAATCCGAATTGGATCTCAAGTATAAATCTGTATTTAATTTGTTTAGATTAGTTTGTTTTCACTGTTATTTATTGAACTTGATTCATTCATTCAGGTTGGTTGAGATTGCACCTCACTACTATGATCTTGACAACTTCCCACAATGTGAAGCAAAACAACTTCTTAAGAAGATATACAAGAAAAAGGTAGAGACTAGAAACAAGACAAGGTAGAAAGCAGCTCTTACTTGTCATTAATTCTACAAATCAAATTTGACGGAGTGTGAGTGAGTGACTGATTATGATCTAAATTCTAAATCACTTGTAAGTAGTAAGTGCTCATCGTTTGTACTCATCAAATTATATGCCTTAGTGAGACACACCTTCTTAGAAGTTAGAACATTCTTTAAGCCTAATGATATTTCACCCTTTTTGCAAACGATTCAATGATAGCCAACAATGGCATTTAGAAAGTATATAAGTTATAACATAAAGAACGTAAACAAAAAGATATAAAATCAAGACATGGAGTTGTTTATGGTTTTTACTAAGTTGAAGGATCAAATGTAAGAAATAACAATAACAATCTAATTTTATTGATTTGTTTTTGTTTTAGCGTCTTCTATTTTCATGTACTTTGAAACATTTATCTAATTGTATCAATGTCTACCAAATACAAAACAATTTCACTAATATAGCAAGAAAAAAAAAAGTACAATCTTAGTACAACAATATTTTTTTTGAAAAATGTATCCAATTATTACAATGTCATCCAATGCAATTTTCACTAATATAGTAAGGAAAAAAAATGGTACAATATTAGCACAACCTTTTCACTCCCCACAATCTCTCTCTCTCTCTCTCTCTCTCCCCCCACAACCTTTATTTTATTCATTTGTATTCAAATTATAGAGGTCATTATTAGTTTGCTATAAATTTATTATACATAAATTTAAGAAACAAAGGTATGTTGTTACAAATTGCATATATCTATACAAAATGTTATATGCTTTAATCAAATGGGTTAAATGTAAGAAACAACAATGTACTTTCATTGATTTGTTTATTATAGCATGTTAGTTTCAAATTTTCTATTATAACATTATACTTTCAAAAATCTACCTAGTTATAGCAATGTCATCCAAATACAAAACAACTTTTACTACTATAATGAAACAACATTGAAGGTATAATCCTATAATTGAGTAGATTTTCTAAGTACAATGCTTTGCTAAAGAAAAAACTGAAAGTACAATGTGGTATTAGAAAGAAAATGAAAGTATGATTCTATAATACACAAATATATGCCAATGTGAGACTAGCCCACTTGGTAGAGGCTTTGCCTCTTAAATTGGAGGTCTCGAGTTCTATTCTAGGCGTTGACGGTTTCATGATACAAACTGTTTTTGTGATAGAAACTGCTAACTATTAACCCTGCATTCGAAACACATACACACACACAAATATATGAAATTAAATTGCTATTTCTTCCATTTAGACCTTATTATATCCAATTATTTTCAAAATTTAAAGGTTATGTTTAGCATGTTATTTAATTTATGCAAGAAATATCAACGTAGCTTCATTTGTTTCTTTTATCATATCATCTCACTCTCATTTCTCCCTATTAAAACATTGTATTTGAAAAATCTATCCGGTTATAGCAAATGTCATCAAAATACAAAACATTATTCTCTACTATAATTGAGTTCATTTTTCCAAGTACAATGTTTTAATAAGCAAAATAATAATAACTAAAAGCACTAATAGAAATACATAAAAGTTCGAGACTATAATCAACAAATAAACTAATCTTGTTGTCAATCATGAGACTTGAACTCTCAACCCTTTAGTGGATGAACACCTTTTCAAACACCTTATACAGCAAGACAAAGAAAAATATAATGCTATTATTTGCATTTAGTCTTTTATTTTAAGGTTAAATGCAATTATAATGCTATATTTTGCATCTATTCCTTTATTTATCATAGATCAAGAAAATTATAAGTACCCACGGCATAAAATTTGTGAAAAATCCAAATCGTATATATGAAAACACTGTTTGTGTTAATTATAATAAAATAGGCTCTGAAATGATATCCTATCATAGAAAACGTATGCCTGAAAGGCATGTAAGGAGCCAAAAATACCTACAATAAATGAAGTTTTCCCCATTAAGTCTTAAACCTTTTTACAAATTTATCATCATTTATTTTTAAGTTCAATATTGGTTAGAATTCTTTTGGTTTCAAAGTAAAGATTGATTACTATGTTAAAACTTGAAAATATAATTGTTCTGGAGTATAAATATGTGAAATTGAAAATGTGGGAAGCACTTCATTTCTATATTAATTAACAAAACTAAACTGATTGTGGGATGAAAGAAATAGAAAACTCATTTTAGAAGATGGAAAGTAAATATAAAATATGCAAAGGTAATTAAAATGAGTTTTCATGTTAACTTTTTTTACCATAAGCAAAGTCAATGTATAATTTTTAACCTTACTCCGTACATTATTAAATTATTAATTTATAATTAGTGAATGTTTTATTTACAATAATAAAAAATTCATCATAACAAAAACTCATTACAAGCCAAACAAGATTATGATTAAAAAATATATTTTCTAGCTACTATTAGAAAATAACATTTACAATTTAATTAAAATTGTGACTTTTGTAAAATATTCGCATCATTAAAAGTTGTTATGTTGTAACTTTTCATACCATTCCGTGATTTAATGAAACCAAAAAAATATTGATCGTCTTAAGAAACAAAAAAAAAATTATAAAATTGGAAGACATCATATTCCTTCAAAAATAGTTATATTCCATTCCATCAAACAAAACATACAATATGTATAATTATACCCTCTACTTAAAGCAACAATAAGATTTTACAAAATCCTGAAGTTTAATCTCAAGTTTTTTCATAAAAGACCAAATCCATGGATATATCATTTTTTATAAGTAGAAATCCTTAGATGATAAGCATATTTGGTAATAATCTGAGAACTTTATTGCAAATGTTCATCTTTTTATAGAAAAAAAAAAGACTATCTTACAACAACCAATGGTATATTATCTTATAGCAATATAATCGCTGCTCCATTTGAATCAGTTGACTTATTGAGGCATCTGCAATCAAGAACACAAGAATACAATACAAATTAGCAACAAGACTTCAAGGATCATAATCTGATTGCATACAAACTTCTTCTTTCTTTTCAAAACAAAAAAAAAAAACTTGATCATAAGATAAAGAGATTGCATAAAATGTGATGAGTGTGTTACCAAGGATGAGAGAGAATGGGGCTCATAACCATGAACCCTGAAGCGATATATGCAAGTGTGAGTGGGATCTCCATGGTTTGATTTGAACTCAAATCTCATCATGTTCACAGCATATCCCTTCTCCCAAACATTGAAACTTTGTACATTTCTTTTTTCAAGATCATATGTGAACTCTCTTAGCAAAACCATCTTCTTGGAATCAGGATGCAACCATCCAAACACTTTACACTCTTTAGGAGCCATAGATCTGTCGTATGCCACACTCTGTTCATATTCATAACACCATAAAATGCACAAATTAAGTGATTAAATCAACAAGAATCTTCAGAGAAAACAAGATAAGAGAACAAACCTTTGCAACATGTTCAAGAGTTATAGCCTCTGGTATAATGGTGTGACTCAACTTGATCTCAACATAACCATTGTTACCTTTTAGAGGAAAACATTGACCAGGTTCACCAAAACTAGGTTGCAGAATCTTCAGAGCAAACAGATGAATCTCATTTTGTAAATTGTAGGGTTCAGAGTGTTTCACCACCATTCCTCCCCCAGAAGCAACCGCATAGTCAATAGTAGCAAGTCCATCAGCAGCATGCTTTTCAATTGCCTTCTCAATCATCTCCTTCACATAACCCTTCATATCGCCATCAAACCCTTCATCTTTCCTCTTCTTGAAGTTAAATCCATCTAAAACATTGTTAGATTTATTATTCCATATCCACTCCTTACCAATCAATGATCGTATCTTACTTTGAACATTTTCTCCCAAATCACGCAATTTGGTCCTGTATACGAAATCAAAATCATCTACTCTCTCGTTCAATTCGTTTCTTAAATCTACAATCTCTTTCTCGATTTTTCTGTCCGCAGCTTCAATCTGAACCTGCATCATCTTGGTAGTCGTCTGGAAGAAGGACTTGGTTTCCTCAGCAGTCCGTCTACCGAGCCCTATAGAGTAAATGCCTTTGTTCCCAAATAGCAATCGCAGAATCGTCTCAGACAAAAGCAGTAGTAGCAGTAGAAGTACCAAGTTCTTGGTGAAAAAGGTGAGAGCGATCTGCCATGGAGGCTTCTTCAGATGAGCTCTTGGATTAGGCGTTGTTGATTCCTTCTCCATCGCGTGGTCAATGAAACGTTTGTACCCTAATAGAAGAATTTAAGCCGGTGGTTTCTCCGTCGGCAATCACCGGCGATCTTCGATTGTAGCTGAATGTGCAGGGGTTGACATCGAATTTGTTGGAGAATTGCAACCGAAATGAATTAATTGAAACATTTTGTGACTTTATTGGGCGGGAAGGAACTACCCGGCAATACAATTTGTAAACAATTAACTTGACATTGATTTTTATTTGGATAAAAGCAAAATAAAATAACTATTTTTTTTTTAAAAACTTTTATCAGTTTATGTGATAAAATCTTAAAAGATTATTTAAAAAAAAAAGTAAAAAAAAAAAAAACAAAAAAAAAACAACTTTGTATTGTATTTTTGACTTTCAAATATGTAAAAAAACATCAAAAAAGTTTGTAGATTTGCTCCGTAAAAGTTTAATTTCTTAAATATAACCTGTAAAAAACGTTCTGGTGTTTTTTTGTAGTAAAAGTCTTCAAAAGAACATTTTTATAATAATAATAAAAAAAAACTTTAAATGATATAAAAATGATTTTTTTTTGTTTGAAGTTTCATTGAGAAAGTTCTACAACAAAAAAAATGATATAAAATGGAAAAAAAAAAAACATAGAGTATTCCCAGCCCATTAAGAGTTTCTTTTTTGCAGCCCAATACTTTTATCACAACAGCGTATGAACACTAAACTTGTAATCATACTACTATAAATTAACCATATATCTTATAAATTGAAGTCAAGTCATCGAATACCTTTAAAATACATATGAGAGTTTTTTTTAACAATTTATCGACGACTTGAAATTTCTTTTAAGCCATGGTCAAATGAGGTGGGTAACCTTAGCAAACTTCGTTCTCTGTATTTATTGAAAGCCAATTTAGTGCTTCTACCTAAACCATAAATCATCATCAATATCAAAAGACAATGTCTTCTTCAAAGGGAAACCTTGAAAATTATCTAATACCACTAGAGGAGATCAACCTTGCAACCAAAAACTTCAGCCTGGAAAGATTCATTGGAGGCGGTGGATTTGGCAAGGTCTACGTAGGAACACTCTCTGAACGTTGGCAAAACTGCACAGCTGCTATCAAACGCCGAGCACCCGATAGTTATCAAGGAGAGGACGAGTTCCGTAATGAGCTTCACATGATTTTAAAATTCAAGCATGAAAACATCATCTCCTTTATTGGCTACTGTGATGAAGCCGATGAGATGATTATAGTTTATGAGTATGCTACCAATGGAAGCCTCGACCATCATCTCCAATACGCAAATAAGATGTGTGACATAACATGGACACAACGCCTCAAGATTTGTTTAGGGGCAGCAAAAGGACTCGATTACCTTCACTCGGGTCTTGGGGAGCACACCAGAGTGATACATAGAGACTTTAAGAGTGCTAACATATTGTTAGACGAAAATTTGGTGGCAAAAATATGTGATTTTGGCCTGTCAAAATGGGGTCCAAAGAATCAGCCAATTACCCATCTTAATACAAAGGTTGCGGGTACCCAATTTTACTTGGATCCCGCTTACCATGAAAGCCATATCCTCCGAAAAGAATCAGACGTGTACTCATTTGGTGTGGTACTATTCGAAATGTTGAGTGGGATGCTTGTTTACAGTGAAAGAAGCCTTGGAAATAAGGCAGCGTTTCTAATGACTTTGGTTCGACAATCTGATGAAAAGAAAGTACATGAGTTAGTTGATCCCCATATAAGACATCAGATTAGCAGTCCTTCTTTCTTTATTATTAAAGAAGTTGCATATCAGTGCATTAGTTTAAATTTAAAGGAACGCCCTAGTATGGCCATAGTCATTGGGAAGATCGAACATGCGTTGGATATTCAAGTAAGTCTTTACATTTACTTATTCTGAAAGAACTATAGTTTAAAATGCAAGCATAATCATCATGGATGATAAACCACAATGAATTAACCTACGCCACCAGCCACCAACCACCGTCGTCATATTAATATTAGAATAATCATTTGTTCTATACTTATTCGTATATGAATATACGTATTCATATATGAATACAATTATTCATATATATTCATGTGTGTGTGTGTGTGTATATATATATATATATATATATATATATATATATATATATATATATATATATATATATATAGGGAAGAGTTATATGGAAAACAAGAAAACCAACAAAAAAAACCCTAAAAATGATAAAAATACATAAAAAAAATATACCTAGACATCACAAAACTATTTTTTGACTTTACATATCAAAAAAGCACAACTTTTTTTAAAAATTCACTGAAAAAAAATCAATTTTTTTTTTATAAAAAAAAGTTTTGTTTTTCAAAAAAAAATTTAGCGATTTTGTGTTAAAAGGTGCGATTTTTTTTAAAAAAAATTTAGTGATCTCTAAGTATTTTTTTATGCATTTTTATGATTTTTAATGTTTTGTTTTCCATAGAATCTAAACCTATATATATATATATATATATATATATATATATATATATATATATATATATATATATATATATATATATATATATATATATATATGTGTGTGTGTGTGTTCATGTGAGATGACCTAATTTTGTGAGATCGTGAGACGCAATCCTAGTTACTCATTCTGTAGATAAAAAAATATTTTTAAAATGCAAAATAATTAAAAAATTTCGAAATTCTTTTTTTCAAATATTATTTTCGTCATTTATATTTTCCAAAAAAAACCATTTTTTTACATATTCTTGTAGAATATTAGAATATTTTACATATCTGACAAATCTAGTAGAATATTCTAACATTCTAAAAATCACATTAGAATATTTACAGTGTTATATTATATTAGAATATTTCACGTATTTAAAAAAAACGGTATTTTTTTTTATTTCTTTAGGTAATTAAAGTGATGAAAATAATAATTCATTTTTTTTTTGGAATTTTCTTTTTATTTTGCATTTTAAAATTATTTTTAGATTTGTTCTTACGGTCTCACAAAATTAACATGGTCTCAAATGAATATGAATCTCTCTCTCTCTCTCTCTCACTCACTCACTCTCTCTCTCTCTCTCTCTCTCTATATATATATATATATATATATATATATATATATATATATATATATATATATATATATATATATATATATATATATATATATATATATAAATAAACTCATGTATTACATGAGTTTATTTAAAAAAATAAACAAACATGAAGATCTAACAATTTAAATTTATAAGAAAAAAAGTAAAATATTAATTATTAAAATTGAAGTGCATAGTTGTCTTTTAAATTTAAACTAATAATTTAAATAAATAAAATAATTTGATTCAATTTAGAAATTCAGAAATTATAAGGAAAGTTGCATTAATGTATTAGATATACATTTATTATTATATTTATTACATTTAAGTATTATATGAAATTTATTAAAATGGAAAAAACCACAAAATGACACATGGATATAATTTAATCTAAATTTACCATAAAATGACATATGGCATAATGCATAAGAGGATGACAAATGACAAAATTATTTTCATTTATTAGGAAATATATATATATATATATATATATATATATATATATATATATATATATATATATATATATATACTAGGTGAATGCTCGCGCGTTGCGTATAAATATCTATATAGTTGAAGTATTTACAAATATATGTTTTTTTTTAATATAACAATAACGTTGTTGTTAAATTTAATATAATAATCTGTATACTATATTGATATAATATATTGATTATTTTGAATTATATGATAATATATAATCTATTATAACTACATAATTTCAATCGTTTAAATGATTTCTACATGCGAGTTACATATGAATAAAATTAAATATAATATATGGTTTAATGTTATTTATAGTTGTTGTTATTGTTAATTATTTTTTTAAGAATTTATTTGCTTAATATTTTAATTTCTATCATTATAATTATTTTAAACATCAAACATTGTTTTTTGATTTTAAAGGTAACAATATAATTATTTATATAAATTTATTTTTAATTTTTGTTATTGTAAGTTATTTTAAGCTACTTATTTGAAAATTTTTAACGATTATAAAAACATATTTAGGAAATATTTTAGTTAAACCAAGATTACAGTTTAGTTTTTGCATTTATCACTACAATTTATCAATTTTAACTATTTACAAAATATTATTTGGTTTTTTTAAGTGGAACTGAAATTTTTATTTAAGTTGACACTGTAATGTTATATTTAAATTAACAATTTAAGTATTTCGTCCAAACTGTTCAAAAGTTGTAGCTTTAAACGGATAATGGTTTACATACAACAACATTTTAAATCTAATAAATTAAGTATAATATGTTAAAAGTTAAAGACATAACTTTATATGTAAAAGTAAAAATATTATTTTAAAATTGAAATTTAGTTTAGTTATGATTACACTTTAAGTTTGATATTTATATAACCTTATTAACCAACTTATAATCATTATTAGAAAGATACTACAATTTATTACTTTTAACTATTTACAAAATATTTTTTGGATTGTTTAAGTTCAACTAAAATTTATATTAAAGTTGACCCTATAATGTTATATTTAAATTAATAATTTAAGTATTTTATACAAATTGTTCCAAAATGTATCTTTAAAATGATAATGGTTTATATCCAACAATATATAAAAACTAATAAATTAAATATAATATGTTAAAAATTAAAAAATATAACTTTATAAAAAGATATTATTTTAATATTGAAATTTAGTTTATATATGATTACACTTTGGGTTTTATATTTATTTAACATTATTAACCAACTTATAATTATTATTAGAAAGAAATTGAAAAGTCATGAGAGTTTCAAATGCATGAGGTTCAAGAAAAAATGCTAGCTATATATATATATATATATATATATATATATATATATATATATATATATATATATATATATATATATATATATATATATATATATATATATATATATATATATATATATATATATTGTTTGAGATCAAAGCGTTGTGTTCTCTCCTTCCAATAGCAAGTTCCATTTTACAAACGATTTTTATTTTGGCGTATATTGATTTTCGTTAAGTTCTTTGGATTTTTTTAGTTTTTTGTTTTCATTTATATTATATCTCTTTATAAGTTAATACGTTAAAATCAAGAACTCCTCACCCATTTTTGCCATGCTTTACACAAAAATTGTTAAAATTAGG